TCAAAAGTAAAAACAACACACTGTTACTGATATAGATAATGTATTAATAAATAGAAAGGCCAGCTGATTATCCCAGTAACACTCACCTCTCCGTCTGCAGCGGCGGCTGAAGTCATCTTACTCACACAGTAAGCTTTTTTCCTGCTATGAGCACTGTACACACGCATCACCCTAAGACACAGATTTTACATGCTGTCAGTATACAAAACCATGTAAAAAATGTTTTACTCTAAAATCCTCATTACAAGACTCTTGTCTATGATAATCTATAATGGCTTGAAATTAAGCAGTTGAAATCTACACACTAACCTGTCACAGCTTAATGTGCTGATGTACTGTCCAAGTGGGTCCCATGTTACTCCTTGCACATAACTCCTATGATCATTAAAAATGCACATCTTTTGACCTGCAAACAAAACAGGCACTGAATTCAATAACCACAAAAGACCCAAAAAGGTCCTGCTCACTAAAAAAAAAAAACATTCACTGTCATAATTTATCCTGTCACATTTCACTTCTATAAAAACAAAAATACGTATGCAATTCCTTAGTCCTGCTTCAGGTTTCATACCCTTGCTGACATCCCACATGATAGCAGTGTTGTCCACAGAGCCCGAAACCATGAAATTCCCATCGCTGGTCCATGAGATATCATATACATCCTCAATATGTCCCCTAACAAACACAGGCAACAATATGAGCATTTAAGATTCTACAAAAGTAAATGACTTAAAGTTGCAATGAAATGCAATCAGTGGCAGATATTTTCTTTAATATTCTGACATACATAAAAATAAATAAATAGTAATAAAAAATAATAATAAAGGATGGGGACTTGGTTCATGCATTGGTTGTTGAATGTATGGAGGCAGATCATCTGAGTGTGAGCCTGCAGAAAATGGCAGGATTTAAGTAGACTAAATAATTGAAAAAGTCCAGCATACATTAACAGAGAGAAGTCTGTCATTTCACCAGAAGACTTTGACTAAAAATTACAAATCTCGAAAAAACAAAAACAGACAATAAAGACATTTGGATGGATGCATTGTGCACAAGATTAATAACCTTCATTTAGTTCATGTGAATTTTCATTTCACGCCATTTTTAATGTAAAAGACAGTCAAAGGGGACTTATAATTAAAATAAGACCTCAGCGTTTTGACGACACTCCAGCTCTCTTTATTGAGCTGATCATCTTCATCTTCCTGAAAGGCCGGGGTTTGTTCAGGCTCCTTATTGTCATTCAGTTTCCAAAGCAAGATTGCAGCATCTTGAGAAACAGACATTTAATTAAACCATTTAAAGGCACTATAAGCAATTTCAACAAACTTACCCGGGTAAAGATCTGACTTTAAAGGGGTCATATGATGCTTTTTTAAAGATCATTATTTTGTGTATTTGGTGTAACAGAATATGTTGACATGCTTTAATGTTCAAAAAACACATTATTTTTCAAACTCCTCTCCTAGGTTCATGAAACGGTCGTCCATAAAATGCATTGCTGTTCTGTTGTAAGTGATCTTAAAGATTCCTAAATGCATCTACTTTCGGAAGGCCAAATAAAGTGCTTTTGCTTTCGCCTGTAGAAACACAGTGTCTCCCTGACATGGCTGCTTCAACACTAACTGAGGTTACTGAGACCACGCCTTCTTTCTTTGCACCAAAGAGAAAGGAAAACTTGAAATCGCATCATATGACCCCTTTAAACTCACCATCCCCTCCAGAAGCCAAGACCTCAGCGGTGGGTGAGAACCGCACTACGTTCACTGCTTTAGTGTGTCGTGCCAAGTTAGACAAAAACTCAACGACCGCCTTCCCATCAGGCCCTTTATCCACACGCCACATCTGAAAGAGAGCAGCTCTCATCTTATAATCTGTAATAATACGTCATCAGTGTTAACTTAAAGAGACACCTATGATGTATTAAGAGAAGGCAGAGGATCTCTTACCCGTACTGTGGTGTCCACCCCAGCTGTAGCAAGCCGCTCTATCTTTCCCTCACCGCCCTGCTGGAAATCTAGACTGTACACCGGCTCCTTATTATGCCAGGCAATCTCACAGGTTACCACCTTCATCCTAACACCTGATGGACAAGGATATAAAGAAATACAGATATTGTGATCATGCATTAAGATGAAGGCAGGACACAAAAACTGACACTGGCAAAAGAAAAAAAAAACACAACTTAAAAGTAAAACACTTTTGTCACGTTACTGAAAAAGTGGATCTGAAAGCATTGCTATGATTCTATAGTAAACAACACTAACAATAAACACATTTTAGTCTTAAACGTGCATAATTCATGAACATAAAAACAAACTATTTAAAACTAACGGACTAAAAAACGTTCTCGTAAACAGTAACATTAATGTGGAACAAAGAACTATTACCTTGGATTATAAACGAATATTACCGCGTAATACGGACCTACTCACCTAACACATCAATTCTTGGACAAAACTTAATATAACAGCACGTAATCAATAACAGATGAAGTCCCAATGCGTTTAATTAAAAAACTTACCAGTCACCTAGATAAATAAAGTTGCAAAAGTTGTAACAATTGTTCAACACAGTTGCTCTGTGTATCTCTCCCGCTTTCACCCAAACAGACGGCTTTCCCGCGCAGCTTTCCGAGAATGAGCACGTCCGGCTTCGAGGGTTGCCAGATCCCACACCAAAAATCCGACGTTGGACTGAGACTTTTCCCCCTTCATTATTATGGTGTTATTTGTAATGATAAAAACGGTGTGTAAATTATTGCTTGGCGGTTTAAGTTGATCCAACAATAAATTAAACACCCTTATGGTACATTTTTTGTTAAAAGTATGTGGCAACTTAAAATTTTATATCTGTTTGGAAGGGTTAAGTAAACAATTTCTATAAGATTTTTTTTTTTGTAATATTGTAACAAACAATCTCCCATGTTGATGATCTATATCTCATGTGAACAAGAAAGACAGAAAGAACTATTTTTAATCAAACAACTATAAAATGTATTTTATATATAATCCTTTTTTCCAAAAAAGGCACTATGTACAAAATTATGCACAGAACTGTCTGGACACAATTGGAGTAGCACTTACTACAACTGTTATCCACTCACAATTGTGTATAAAAACATTGTGTATCAGAAATACACACAGCTGCATATCAGAAAAATTACAGAAACGTGGCATGAAATGGCACAACATTTGTAAGCTTTATAAGTATTTGTGACAAAAAGGTCAAATGTTATTCTTGAAACAACTTATTTCTATTCCAATAACCAAAAGAACAAGAATGTATAAAAGAATGTAAAACTTGCCCAAAGAACTGCAAGTGTTAATCAGGAAAACATGTAAATAAATAAAACTTAATTTAATAGTATTTGGTCTCCATGCACAAAACAATAACCTAGGCTAACATTTTGGCATCTGGTTTTAAGTAAAGGTGGTCGCAGCAGGGTAAATATCCTGTATGACCTGATTTAAAATCTCATCTATGACCTCACAGTCATAGTTCACTTGGTCAAGGTCGAGGTACAGGGCAGGAACAAAAGTGACCAATAAACGGGCGATGCTGCACCTCAGTTCCCTCAACCTGATGACAGAAGAGAGAGCAGAATTATATATGTGCATCAAAATGTGACTCCGAATGAGCATGTACAGAAACGCCACATACCACTTAAAACCTCAAGTCAACAAGGCTCTTACTTGGCCAATGTCACTGTGTTCTCTCCATCCACAGGTCTTTCACTGCTCTCTCCTTCCTTTTTGATCCCATTCTCAAGGTTCGCAGCCGTGCTTGCTCTGCATGTTTGTTCTGAACTGGTGTTACTGTCCTTCAGAGTCTCTTGCTCTCTTGCATTGCTCCACTCCTCTCTTTGTTTCCTCAGCTCTTCTATTTCCTTTTGCAACAGCTCACAGACGTTCTCCTGCTCCAAGCTCTCCAACTTTCAGAATACAGTTGAGTTTGTGGGTATTGAAGAATGAAAGAAAAGGAAAAAAGAATAAAAGTCTAAGCCTGACTGATTAAATAATGGCCATTCTTGCAGGAAAGACCAACACTTGTGGAATAGGATACTGTAATGTCCCCATCATTTCTTAACCAGCATGGCTTCCACGATCAGCCAGCTTTACCACTATAATTTACCTTCACATGCAGGCAAGTTTTTCCAGTTAAGAAGTCAAATGCACTTAAAATTCTGTCCTTTACTAACCCTAATTTAATTAAGTCCCTTAAGACTTTGGTTCATCTTCAAAACAAAAGTGAAAATATTTTTATAGATTTCTGTCCCTCCACTGAAAGTCAATGCAATCAAAGCTTTGATGATTTGATGGTTTAAACTCAGTCTTCTGATATGATCACTTTATACAACCCAATTTCCAGAAAAGTTGTATTTTGTTATAGGTAATAACTAGAATTTGTAATTTTGGTTATTCTTTTTAACACTTATTTAACTGACAAAAGTTCAAAGAAATGTCTTCCAATGTTTTCAATTACCAATCATCGTTGACTTATTCTCCTCTTCATGATGCACCATATGTTTTCAATAGGAGACAGATCTGAACAGCAGGCAGGCCAGTCAAGCACACATCCACTGTGTCTACAAAACCATGCTGTTGTTGCACATGCAAAATAAGGTCTGGCATTTTCTTGCACTAATAACCATGGACTTCCTGGGTCATTTTGATGGCAGCATATCTCTGTGGAATCCCAATATATGCCTCCATGTCAGCTGTGAGCTTGCATGTACCTTGATGTACCCCCATACAGATGTTGGCTTTTGGACCTGTCGCTGATAAAAGTCTGTATGGTCACTTACGTCTTTGGTGCAGAAAAATAATGTATTTCCCCCCCCCCAAATCAATCTGAAATGTGGACTCATCTGACCACAGCACAGAACACCAGTTTCATACAATCCGAGATGAGCTTGGGCCCAGAGAACTTGACAGAATCTCTGCATAGGATTGATAGGATTTCTCCGTGCATAACAGATTCAGGTTGCATTTTTTGATGCAGTGACAAACTGTGTTAATAGACAACGGTTTATCAAAGTACTCCAAAGCCCATGTGACTGTGTTTAACACAAAAGAATGTTTTCTCATTCTGAAAACCACAACAAATTCCTTGTGTGTTTGTGCACACTTGGCGAATAAACGCATACTGATTCTGGTTTCTCATGCTGGGCGATCTGAGGGCTTGAAGGTCACACACATTCAACAGAGGTTTCCTGCCTTTCCCTATACAGACTGAGGGTTCATTCACAATATTGGTTAAAACTAGCGCTGTCAAACGATTAATTGCATACAAAATAAAGGTTTTTGTGTACATGATATATGTGTGTCTTTATACACTGAACAAAATTATAAACGTAACACTTTTGTTTTTGCCCCCATTTTTCATGAGCTGAACTCAAAGATCTAAGACTTTTTCTATGTACACAAAAGGCCTATTTCTCTCAAATATTGTTCACAAATCTGTCTAAATCTGTGTTAGTGAGCACTTCTCCTTTGCCAAACATGCAAAAAAATAAGAAATCAGGAAGGGGGCCAACACTTTTTCACACCACTGTATATTATGTTCACAAAAACCTTTATTTTGGATGCGATTAATCGTTGCCCAGCACTAGTATAGTTATATATAAATACACACACATACAGTATATTTTGAACATATTTACATGTATTTACATGCCTATATTTATATTCATATCATTTATATTATAAATAAATATATTTAATATATAAACTTAACATTTTTCTGAAATATATAAATGCACGTGTGTGTATTTATATATACATAAATATAGATAGCACACATACATATATTATGTAAACAAAAACTTATTTTGGATGCGATTAATCGCGATTAATAATTTTGACAGCACTATTAAAAAAAAACTAAATTCTTTGCAATCTTGCACTGAGAAATATTATTTCTGAATGGTTTGATAATCCTTTCATTACGTTTGGCAAAAAGTAGTAAGCCACGATCCATCTTAGATTGCGAAGACTGATACTTTGGTGGATGCTTTTATTTTTTTTTTACCCAATCATGATACCCTCACCTATAACCAATCCACCTGCTTATTGTGGAATGTTTTAAAACAGTTTAACTTGGATATTCTGTAATCTTTTCACTTTTATTTTGCCGCTGTCCCACTTTTTTTGTGGAGCGTTACAGCATTCAAAATCAAAATTTGTTTATACATCTACAAAATACAATTAAGTTGGTCAGTGAAAACATTGGAAACCTGTTTCTTTGTAGTTTTGTCAGTTAAATAAAGGTTAAAGAGAATTAACAAATCATAATTCTTGTTTTTACTGCATTTTACAAAATGTCCCAACTTTTCTGGAAATGGGGTTGTATGATGAACAGATTTAATTTTTATTCACAAACAGAAGCTCATATGTGCTTGGCTACTCTGCAAAAACCAACAAGGTTTGTTCTTGTGTGTTAGTCAAGTGTAGTTCAGCTTCCATTGATCATATTTGATTAGAATGAAGTGTTTAAAGATTTGGAAGAACTGACATTCAAAGGAGAAACAGAAATCTTTCAGATTTGATTAAAAAATATCTTAAAGTGATTCAAAGATGAACAAAAGTCATACAGATCTGTAACAATATGAGGGTGAGTAAATGATGACAATTTATCTTTTTGGTGAACTTTCCCTTTAAGAGCATCAAAACCATACTAACCAGGGGTGCGTTTCCCAAAAGCAACCATGGTCGCAGGTTCCATTGTTAACAATAGATTTCAATGTAATTAACTACCATAGTTAGCCAACGATGCTTTTGGGAAACGCCAACCCTGGGTGGAAATCCATGCATTTTCTGGAGGGACTATTGTCATTTCATTTTTTATTACTTATGAGAATTTACAGAGTCAAAAATATCAGGTGCTCACCTTTCTTCTCAGTTCATTGCATTCATTGTTGCGCTTGTCCAGCTCCCTTTGAAGCAAGTCCATTTGAAGAGCCACTTCGTCATTTACATTTTCATTTGTTGTTGATGAGTGTTCTTCCCCCTCAGCTTTCAACCAGTCACAACACACCTTGTCTTGTGCTTCTTTCTCAACTTTGATTTGCAACAACACCTCATGTTTAATTTTTAACTCATCCCTCTCTTTCATAACCTCTTTGATGCAGTGGGTGGTTTGTACATAGAAAGTGTTAAAGTGTGTTATATATGTCATTCCTTCCTGGTTTTCTACATTTGAATTTTCATTCATCTTATTCTCCTTAGGTATCTCCTCTAGTTTTTCAAGATTTAGTCTGGAAACTTCTATGCTACTACATCTCTCAACTTCCATGGGGCCTTTGATTATTTCTGTATTGTTTCTTATGCTACTTTCCACCTCATTAGTGCTCTGTTCCATCCTTCTCACATCACTCTCAATCTCCTCCTTCTTGATCTCAACTTCTTCCTTTCTTATCTGCTCGTATTTCTCCGCCTTTACAATCAAATGTTCTGTTTGGGTTTTTATGCTTGTTTGGTCATTGAAAGTCGATGCTTGCATCCTTTCCTTTCTGGTGTTTTCAGTTTCAGTTTTTATGGAACCATGATCACTGGACTCAATATATAATCCTGGTGCATCATCGCTGGTCTTTTCTTCCATCTTCACCTTAGAAAGGTCAAAGGGTTTGTGTCTTGACGTGCTGTGGGTCTCATCAATAACAACATCGTCGTCGTCGTCACTACCCT